AATATCTCCCTTAATAGTATTCACTTTTTAGTTGTAGATTCATTCGTGAAATGTCAGCAACTGTTTTAGGCATTGATACTCCATTACCCAAAGAAGAGGTAGAAAGTTTTGTCATAGCATCCTTTATGGATGAGAGAAACCACATTCCACCTCCAAGGACAAGGACGCGAAGAGCTGCAAACCCTGTGCCGTCACAACCGACCGCTGTTGAGCGTAAATCAGTCAGGACGAATCCTTTTATGGGAGCTCGCGGTCAGTTTTACCTCTCAGGACATTTCTTCCCACTTCCCTCGCAACAGCTTCAGATCCTTTAGATTAATCTAACTCACCTTCAAACATGCCAAGTGTGACGTTTTCGTTAAGAATTCCTCAATGACTTTGTGCCGTAATCCCTGAAGCAAAATTTAGGCCCAATCCAAACTGCAGGAACGTTAGTCAAGATGTAGACGTTAAGCGGTGAATACTTCGCGACATTTAGCGTCGTGCTCCCACTTTGCGAACGTGGATAATCCGCGATTTCCGAACCCTTTCGACAAAAATTAGGTGGGAATTGATTTACACCACTCCAGTGAATGGGGGCATACTCCCAAATTGCAGCTTCTCCGAAAACCCTAGTGAATGTAGCCACACCAAACTGATCTAATTCCTTGTCGCTTCCGTCAATTCTTCTGTCAATTCCTTATTCTCCAAATTCGGGGACTCATCACTTTCGTTACATAACACAGGGAAGATAAGGTGAATGAGCGCTATACGTTTGAACTGATAATGAAAAGTGATAGAATATAGATTTGCTAGGTGTGCTGGAGTGGTACTCTTGGTTACTATTTATGGGGATCTCATTTTCGCAGAGCTGATGCTTTTCGGGTTCAAGTCAGGAAGCCATGGCTGTGAATGAAATTAACCACTTTTCACCCTTGACGGAAGTTGCAACAGCGCAGCTAGACCTACAGAGAAAACCTTGGCAAATGGGAAAAGAAAATTGTCAAGGTCCTCTTCATTTGTTCATTGTCCTTTGGCTTTCCTATCACTTGGCAGGTTTATGTGGTAGTGTATTGTATTTAGTAAAAATGATTTCATATAATTTTTTCAAATTTTTTACCAGTACTTTTTTAGAAGATGTGGAAGGATGCCACGTGCAGAATCTCTATCTCAATTTCGCTGATATTGGATGGCGGGTGAGTTTGCGAAAACTTTACTTCTTGTGTTTTGTCGACTTCACTTACTCATTGACTTGGTGTCTTAAGGACCAACTAGAACTTAGCGTGTAGTGTTTTGTCGTGAGTGGTAATGCGTAAGGGCTGATGGCGATGGCCGGTTCAACTGCAGATGAAGTGAAATAACAAATCTATGGATTAGGGAGTAGGCATATGAGTAGGATTTGGGTAGGGGAGGATGGGTTCTGATGAGCTGTTCGTTTTCAGACCTCGTTAACTAACTATCTTCATATTTCTTGGAGAAGAAATCCGGTGGAAATCCATGGGATTCAGTACATGATAGACGTACAGTGTCGATCGCTGCAGATGCAGGGGTGTTTCTGGGTTGAGTTTGGCGCAGCGGTGACCCTTTCTCCACTAACTGGAAGCGAATAAGCGGGATAAGTGGTGGATAACGTTCTTGCACCTCACCAAACCCAGGCACTCTGACCCTCCTCAGCACAAGACCATATGGCGGCGGTCTTGTGATAGCGGAACTTGTTGATACTTGATATTTGTTGAACGTGTGATATGAGTCTCGCTTTCTTTCTCTGTTTCTTTATTAGTTACATAGGAAACTCGTTGCTCATCTGTCGTAGGATTACTATATCAGAAGCGCTAGTTATTTTCTGGGTTCTAAAATGAGTAGATATCGCGTTGCTCAGATGTATGCTGTACTTACGCCAATCGTATAAATTAACTATGAAAGCCCCGTCAGTAGAGCTCAATCATCCAGTGATATTACCATATATCTATGCTTATGAATGGCATTTCGTATTTATTTCGAATATTATGCCATTAAACCTCTACTAAATAGGCGAAGAGAATAGTACATCCAGGTTGAATACGCATAGCGATAGCTTTATCAGTAACCGAAGAACGAAGGAAGAAGGTGACGAAAAAGTGTTGCGTTCAGGAATGGGTAATCGCACCGGAAGGCTACTCAACAAACTTCTGTGCTGGCGCCTGCTCTAGCGACTCCCCCATGCATAGCAAGATGAACGCAACGAATCATGCCATTGTTCAGACTTTGGTTGGTTATTCTTAGTTAAGCTTGAATGCTGAACTTGTATGTTGCCTATATTTAGGTCCACCTAGTAGACCCAAAACGTGCAGAAGAGTAGACCCAAAAACGTGCAGAAGAGGCAAAATGTGCGCCTATACAGTTGTCACCGACAAAAATTCTTTTCATCGACAACCACGGGAATGTTGTCATGAGAAGGTACCAAGACATGACCGTGCAGGAATGTGGATGCTTGTGAAGCCGACGTGCATTGCAAGTTACCCTTATTTAGCCTTCAGTTTTGACCTGTCTTCAGTGTCGCATGCAGAATTGCCTCAAGCATTACGCTTGAAGGAGAGTTCGATGCAAAATTAGAAATCGATTCCTGGAGAATAAAAAAAGTTAGAGGTTTAGAGTTACTATATATTTAGCGTCTTACCTTGTTGTTTTCGATCCAGTTGCTCTCGCAGGTGCCCGTAATGTCTCCTGTTCTGGCTAGCAGTAGTTTCTTATTGAATTCTCTGCGCTTGGCGTTTTTTTTTCTTACTTCACGAAAAAATCAACCATCGGACTTGCCAGTATGTTCATGTGCAAAAGCTCCGAAAAATCCGGTCGGTTGTCAGTTTGCTCCGATTTTTCATCACAAAATCGCTTAAAAAATGGCCGCAGCCACTTGATTCGGATACACGTCGCCGCGTACCTCAGCCAGGTAACACACCATTACCGATTCCCAGAGGGCCGTAAATTTCGAATCAATCGAATCTTTCAACTTTCCAACTTCGAAGTAAAAAAAAAACAATCGCAGCCTTGCAGGACGAGAAGAGAAACTCGATATTCTGTCAAATGTTGGCCTACATGCTCCATTTTGGCACAACTTGATGTCAAAAATGGAATTAAAGCTTTCATTGAAGAAAAGCAAAAGTTCTAGCGTTTATGAGAAGCAAGCCAGCAGAGCCGCTGAGTCCAGTTTTCTCGGCGCTTTCGGCCGCACGACCCCCCGACGTATTCAGTGCATTCAACGTTCCCAAATGGATATTGACCTTAATTCCCTGGTTCGCCATTACAATAGTTTTTAATAATAGCTTACCAGTGTAATATATACATATACTATCCGGATCATATAATACCTTAGTGGAGTGTAATCAGATAATAGTTTTGACGACAAATGGCGAGCAGCTCCCCAGGTGTTCGCTTTTTCATAGAAGACATAACTTGTGCAACTCCTAAGCGTGTTTTCCCTTGCATGTGACTTTTCGTTCCACTATGGCTTAACAGCGTATCAATCTGCAATCAATTGTAACCACGCGCATAAACATGTCTTCAAGTGTAGCTTCCTTTATTGTATTTTTGTCGCCGACTTATGAAGTACCAGAAGCCAACTTCAAATAGTGTACCGTTCGTGCCAACTATGTGCAGCATTTTTCCACTTGCTGCCTTTTCTTTCGAGATTGATGATTATTTCGCTTAGCAGTAGGTAGCTATTGTTATACGGTTTCTGAAACCGAGTAGTTTTTTTTTGTTTTTTTGATTACTTTCCGGTTTTAGCTGTGCAATTTAGTCTCGATATTCGCAATGTCATAGAAGATAGTCTCGGTGCTTACTGATCTGCATTTGGTTTGGTTCACTGTTCCATTTGGTTGCATTTAGTCCATGTAAGTTGTTGAAATCCACAATAAAAGCTCATCGGTGCTTATTTGATCTGCATTTGTTCCAAGTGATTGTTCCATTTGGTTGTATTTAGTCCAAGTAACTCGTTGAAATCCACAGTAAAAGTTCAGCTCAGCAGTAAAGGCTTACAGCAGTTTTTATGAAACTTGTACTTGTTAGCCTCGTTTGGTCATAAAGCAAGAAGGAATTCCTGATCAGGGAAGGTCAGAGGTCAGTCCGACGTTTCACATGTAATGCACTCTGGTCTACGCGTCTCAGGATGCAGAGTTCAAATCTGCTAAACGATTCCGTGAAGGGAGTTACGATGGGAGTTCCCGTGGTATTATGACCAAGTGGTTAGAGGAGTTGATTTGCAGAATCGATGGCAGGATAACTGATCCCTGCAATTTTATTCTGTGCTTTCTTGGGATTCGCCAACTGTAGATCCATCATAGCCGTTTCATTATTGCCCAATCGTTGTTGGTTTTTGGTGACTTTGTGTGCGCACCACTCACGCTATTCTTCCTTGACTTTTTTCCTGCCCTTGTGTAACGTTACCTGAAATTAACATCAGCGCAATACTTGGAAATTAGGCAGCGTTTATACTTCGTGCTTCTTTTTTTCGTTGTTCGAAAGCGTTCATACTTCGCGACAGCAGCGGCGATCGTAGCGATCGTCGGATTAGGGTTTCGGTTCCTGGGTGATTTTCTGTTCCTTTTTTTCGTTGTTCGAATTCGACTTGTAAACTACAAATATGCAGGAAATTGGAACTTTCGAAACACTTACATAAATTGAAACAATGAAAGCAGAAAAAAAACGAAAAGAAGCTCACCTAAGAAATAAAGTTGCCCTTATGCCGACCTCAAAAAAAAGGTGCACAAATATTCGGGTGCTAACGTAGTTGGGAGGGGCCACGCGGCTCGCGGCGAGTGATGACTCATCGGCTCTTCACTCATTGACATACTTGGAGCGTTAATCTAGCAGCAAA